GACTGAAACCCTAGTTTTCAGATCTTCATCGCATTCCAGATCCGCGGTTCGCATTGTAGAAATGCGATCGCATTTTGCATCGCACATTCGTCCTTCAGCAACCTTCATGGTTGGTTTGCGGTCCACTTTGCGACTCGCAGACAGGTTCTGTGGTCGCATAATGGACCGCATTCTTGACTTGAGATTTGCCCAGAACTCTGCTTTTGTCTGCGATATGAGTGTCGATTATGTGGCTCGCAGATGTGATCTGCGATCGCATAATGCGTTGCAGAACCGCATTTTTGCTACATTTTGCTCTTTTCTTGTCTTTTTGCATTCATTTCCATGCTCTTGGGTCCTTAGTCCTTATGTACTGTAAAAACACCAAAATTACATAAGTAAAGGAGGTAATTGCATTAAAACAAGCTAAAATTTAAGCAACTAGTATTGAAATGTGCCGAAATTCCCCGGCACATCATTGTGTGATCCCTATGTTGTCTATTAGAAGATCTCATTTACAAGTAAGGAATACATGTTGAAATCTAAATTTGGTCGCCTGGAGAGTGGGCTTAACTATTGTGTGAGCGAATGCGAGAGTTGCAGAAGAGTTAAAATTCCAGGTGGTCTATGTTTGCACAAGCTTATAAATAGTTTTAGTTTAATCTCACTATGGTGTTATGGCATCAATAGAGTATAAGAGTTATGAGTTATTGGGTGCATCTTTATCTATGGCCTCGAGCCAAGTGGGGGAGTCTGCTATTGGTTAGACGATTGCATAGTTAGGTGCTATGTTGGTCCCAGTTTGGGGCGTGTTGGTGAGTCAGTTTTGGCTTACGGAGATTGAGGTCGAGGATGGATCGAGTGAAGGAAAATTTTGGCAAAGGTTATATTATGCTTCGTAGGTGTGTAAGAATCACGGGATGTCTTAAGTTGTTGTTGGTAAAGAATGCTCGGTGCATAGAGCAGGAAATCGCTTGGTTATATTGGGATGAGTTACATTCTGCGGTGTCAGAGTACCAATAAGGCACGGGTGGTTCCGTTCGTTTGGTCAGGCTAATTGCAGTTTGAATAAGAGTGAATGACTCTCAAGAATAGTTCTAATGCGTTCAAGATTCTACATAGAACAATTGAGTATTTTTAAAGTTGTATATGTGGTTAGAAACTGAGTTTTCATTGGAAGATGTCAAGACTTGTGGTATTTATATGTTAATTATGGGATTCCATGTATCAGTATCAGAAAAGTAAAGGTAACGGATTTAGATTCGCAGGAAGTTCTTCAGAGTAAAGTATTCTGGAATGTAGTGTTTCTGGGAATATTTGAGAGAGTATTCAACGGCTTATGGGTCTTAGACAGTGTGGTTTTATGTTTGGGCCTCGTGTGGTAAGCCTGGGTGGAGGCATTGTGGTGCTACAGCAAGAGGAAATTTTTGATAGTGGACCAGACCGGTATGGTAAGGATATGATTAATTCCTTGTGTGTGTTCGAGGTAATGAGTTCTTACAGGTATTTTGCGGGAATGCTCTTAGGTTTTGACGGCTTGCTTAGCTTGGTCGAGTTAGAAGGATTCAGTCCTGGCAGGTCTGATTTGTGCAAGGGGAACTCGGAGAGTTCTTGATGGTTTTTACCGCGGTTTGGAGATGTATATTTTCTATGGGCATGCGGAGCATGAGATGTATAGTGATTTTCTTCTAGGTGGGACCAATGGAAAATTCTTGACTAGTTGAGTACGTAGATGTTTGGGGCTCGGAAGGGATATGAAGTTCTCATGTTACCCTAGGATGGTATGGTATATGCGATATGTTGTGGAGGATTGAGATTTGCGTGTGTAAGGTTACGATTCAGTTCTGAATGGAATGTCATAAAATTCTTAGGCAGCACGGGCAGTTTTAGGTGATTAGAGAAATGAGCTTCAGATGATTAGGGTGAATGATCTTCAGATGATTAAGGAAATGGTATTGCTAATCATAGTGATTTGACGAGGGTATATGTTTCAGAAAAAGGCAATGTGATTAAGTTGATAGTACTTCGGTAGTACTGCTGCGCTTTCTTGCTAGATCGACTGCTGATATTCGAGTTTGCTTGATGGCACAGGGGAATTTTAGAATACCTTTAGTGGAATGATTGGGTCCTTGAGGTGTGATATGTATTCGGACGGCGGAATTTGGGATCAAGTATGGTGATTTGTGTGCTACATGGAGTTGGAGATCGGAAGTTCTCATATTCAGGCTATGTTGTGGTTGTAGATCGTGTGTATCGGCACTGTTTAGTGACTATCGGGGTTTGGAGACCCGAGCGGACCTTTTGTTGCTTGGTATATTATATGTTGGATGTGATATTGGGTTCAGACTGGTTGTTTCCGTGTTGTGTTATTCTGGACTATTGCGATAAGACGGCGTTGTTGGCTATGCCGGAAAATGCCACAGATTGTGTGGCTATGTTCGACGGATTATGTCCTATTGGGGATTTTTATATTTCAAAGACCCAGCGGACGGCTGGGAAGGATTTGTCTTTCTTATTTGGGCTCTTGTGATGAGTGTCAGTGCTAAGGCTCTTCGTATTGATTCAGTTCCGGTGGTGAGGGACTTTTCGGGTGTGTTTCTTGTGGCCGGGCATGTCGCCGGGCAAGGTTGTTGATTTCGGTATTGATTTGGTGCCTTGCACCATATCGTATGGCACCGACATAGTTATAGAGGTTGAAGGAGCAGCTTCAGGTTTCCTTGATAAGGAGTTCGTTGGCAGGCCAATGTGGGTGAGTGTTTTATCTTGAGTCGGCTTGGTTGGCTCCGAATGGCATTGTTGAAGGTATTGATTCGACCGTTGTTGAGCTTATCAGTGATCTGGGGAGATCTATGAGTTACCTTTCTGTGTTGCGAGGTGTTATGATTTGTTGGTTATAGGCACATATGGTGCGGTTCATTTGGGGTCTCTTAGTGGAATTCAAGCGGGAAGAATAATTGGGCGTTGCTCAGTGAATGGCGTATCGGTTATGTCCTATCGGGTTGCGTGGCGTATGTTATTTGCTTTACCATGGGGGTAATGATTTGCTTTGGTTCCAGACATCAAATTATGCGTGGTTGTCACTTTCGAGCATAGTGACTTGAGGTGTTTCATGTGGAGCATTGTTTGATGGGATTGCTTATTGCAGCAAAGCTATGTAGAGATATGACCTTGCGGGTTAGATTCGTGTTTCTATTTCTATGATGCGAGATGGGTTCTCAGCCTTGTGTTGTGGCGGTACTGGTGAGCTTGGGGTGCAACTCTTTTGTTTGAGTCATTTTCATGATTTGAGTATGTTCGGACCGTTTCTTATTGGTGCGCGTATTATGCAAGTTGTGTCTTAGGCCTGTATTGATATGTCATGTCACCAGAGTGGTGTGTTGGATTCGAGGTGATCGTTGGGATCATTAATGAATACGAACAGATTTGATTTCAGCTTGTTGGAAGGATAATATCGAGGTTCGGCTCGAGAATCTGCTGTTGTATTAGCCAAAAGGGAAGTGGCTTCATGAATGGTTGATCTGAGAAATGGTGATGGCTTACTGCGTGTTTTAGTTATCAGTTGTCGTATATGTAAAAGTGTTGGAATGAAACTTTAGTTGATAAGAGGTTTTCTACCGGTATTCAGGCATTATGTGCAACTGCTGTGAATGGAAGTTATCGCTACATGTATTTGAGTTATGTGGTATATCAGGTAATTGCACCTGAGGCTACAGGTATGGGTTATTATAGCTGGTTCGGCTTATTCTTAATATAGATGTGAGGTTCTGATCTTGTGTATGATTTCGGAAATGGAAATGTGGTTCTAAGGTTTATGGGCTAGATTGGGTTGTGAAATTTCAGTTACAATGTGTTATCGGACCTATATGAGATAGGGTGACGTAGGATCACCCCCGAGTATATGCATGATAAGGTTATTCAGCGATTGATTAGCTTTTGGAACAACTCTGGGCACGTTCGAGGACGAATGTTTGTTTAAGTTGGGGAGGATGTGATGACCCGGCCAGCCGTCTCATGAGTTACCGCTTTGTTTCCCCCATTTCTGCTTCTTTATGCTTCGTTATCCGTGTTTTGTGGTATCGGGTTGGTCGAGTCCGGAATGATTTTTGATAAGGTTTGAGACACTTAGTCTCTTTTAAGGAAGCTTAAGTTGGAAAAGTCAACCGGATGTTTATGTGTTAGAGGGCTCGGATGTGAGTTCCGATGGTTCGGTTAGCTTCGGGAGGTGATTTGTGACTTAGGAGTGTGATCGGAATGGGTTTTGGAGGTTCGGAGTAGAATTAAGCTTGAATTGGCGAAGTTGATATTTTGGCGATTTCCGGTTGGTAGGTGAGATTTTGATCTGAGGGTCGGAATGGAATTCCGAGAGGTGCAGTAGCTTCGTTGTGTCATTTGGGATGTGTGTGCAAAATTTCAGGTCATTCGGATGTGGTTTGTTTGGGTTTTTGATCGAAAGCGTATTTCGGAAGTTTTTAGAAAACTTAGGCTTGAATTCGATGTAAATTGGTGGATTTGATGTTGTTTGAGTTGTTTTGATGATTGGAACAAGTTTGAATGAGGTTATAGGGTGTGTTGGTACTTTTGGTTAAGGTCCCGAGTGCCTCAGGTGAGTTTCGGATGGTTGATCGGATCATTTGAAGTTGAAGAAAATTGCAGATTTTGGTCTTCAGCAGTTGCAGGCATTATACTCTTCACGTTCGCGAGAGGACCCTCGCGTTCGCGAAGAGTCGGCTGAGGAAGGTGGAAATTTAGCCTCCGCGTTCGCGAGGAAGTCTACGCGTTCGCGTAGGGCTGAGAGAAATGTGCATCGCGTTCGCAGTTGTGGTCTCGCGTTCGCATAGAAGGATTGAGCAGCTGGAGCTTCAGTGGAATTAAGCCATCGCGTTCGCGATGGAAGCGACGTGTCACGACACCAATCCCAGTCGTGATGGCGCCCAACACATTGCTAGGCAAGCCTGACCAATCATTAACCTCAACCCATTCCTTATAAAGTTCATTTCCAGTTAACGCAGTTTAAAAGCCAATTTAACATTTTAAAAGTCTGAAATAGTAAGTTAAGTATGCGGAAATCAAAAACATTTCTAATACACAGCCCAACGATCAGGTGTCACAAGTCAAAAGCCTCTATCACAGGTCTGAACAACCTAATACAGAAATGTCTAGAAATGCAAAAAAATAGTAAAATAGAAGGAGGAAATCGGGTCTGCGGACGCCATGCAGCTACCTCGATGTCTCCGGTGAAAGCTGATCAACGGGGGAACTCACACTCAGCCTCTGGAACACCTGAATCTGCACGCAAGGTGCGGGGAGTAATGTGAGTACTCCGACTCAGTGAGTAATAAATATAAATAATGACTGAAAGCATGAAAACACGTAAAGGCACAAAGCAGTTCTATATCAGCATTAAAAATCTCTTAAACAGTAACCCAACGAATAAGTCAAATGAAATCTCTTCAAATCCGGTATAACAGGTAATTTAACAGGTAATAACAAGTAGAAATCCGCCCCTCGGGCTCACACTCTGCACCTAGCCAATATAACTCTCATAATAACCGAAATCAGAATAATCGCTGCGGCGTGCAGCCCGATCCATATAAATAGTCGACTGCGCTCACTGGGGGTGTGCAGAATCCGGAGGGGCTCCTACAGCCCAAGCGCTATATTGCTGCGGCGCGCAGCCCGATCCACATAAAAATTGCTGCGGCGTGCAGCCCGATCCATAACATATATAATATCCTCACTGTTGGGTTCTCAGCCCCCTCTCAGTCATTTTACTCACAGCCTCTCGGGCACAATGAAATAAGTTAGGGATCTCAGCCCTCATGTTCCTCTCATTTAGAATTAACATTTATAACACCGGTTCACATCTTTTAAAAAAATAGAAGCATGACTGAGGATATGATTTTTAACAAGTAAAGTGAGAAAAATCAGTCAAAATACCCCCTAAGGGTTCTACAGGTCGGAACAAGGCCCCAAACGTGGCAACTAGCCCAAATCATAATGATAACAAATAAGTCTCAGTCAAATAAGTAGTAATTTCATCAATCGGGACCAAGTCACAATCCCCAACGGTGCTCTACCCCACGCTCACTATCCGGCGTGCAAGTCACCTCAATATAGCACTACGATGTGCAATCCGGGGTTTCAAACCCTCAGGACATCATTTAACATCATTACTCACCTCAAACCGGCTAAAGCTCTAGCTTGCTATGCCCTTGCCTCTCAAATCGGCCTCCTCGCGCGTCGAATCTGACCAAAACCACAACGAATACGTCACAATATTCCAAAGGAACAATACCCAATCGAAAACAATCGAAAAATATTAAAAATTCCGAATTTGGAAAAACCCGAGCCCCGGGCCCACTTCTCTAAACTTAGAGATTTTCACATCAACGGGTTTCCTATCTCGCCACGAGTCTATGCATATAAAGAACATCAAAATCGGAGTCCAAATGACCCCTCAAATCCCAATTTAAAATTTCAAAATCCCAAGCCCTTGTTCTTCCATTTTTGGCTAAATTTCCATAAATTTCTAGGTTGATTCCACAATATAATCACGTTTTTGATTCATAAAACTTACCTTCGATCAATCCTCTTCGAATCCCTCTTCAATTTCTCCCAAATAGCTCTCAAAATGCCCAACAATAGAGGAAAATATGACCTAGCTCGCGGAGGAAATGTTTTAAAAACTATTCTGCCCAGCTGTCAATTCCTTCTATGCGAATGCGAGGGCCTTCTCGCATTCGTGATGCACAATTAACTCTTAGCCCAAAATTACCCTTCGCGAACGCGTCTGAAGACCCGCGAACGCGAAGCTTCTGCTGCCCCAACTACGCGAACGCGAGCACTATGCCGCGAACGCGAAGAACAAAATACAAGGACCCTCAATTCCTCTTATGCGAACGCGAGATACTCCTTGCGAACGCGAAGCACACGGATATCACCCTCCGCGAATGTGATTGCCATTACGCGAACGCTAAGAGTAAAGGCCTGGCCTACCAAGGTCCTGCTACGCGAACGCGGCCCCAGGCTCGCGAACGCGAAGGCCAATTTAGGCCTGCACTGCTGCTGCAATTTTTGCATTTTTCTCCAAGTCCAAAACATCTCGTTAGCCATCCAAAATCACCCCGAGGCCCCCGGGATCTCAATCAAAAGCACCAACACATCCTAAAATATCATCCAAACTTGTTCCAATCATCAAAACACCTCAAACAACACCAAAACCATCAAATTACATCAAATTCAAGCCTAAGTTCTTCTAAAACTTCCCAAACACGCATTTGATCAAAAACCCAACCAAATCACCTCCGAATGACCTGAAATTTTACACACACATCCCAAATCACATAACGAAGCTACAACAACTCTCGGAATTCCATTCCGACCCTCAGATCAAAATTTCACCTATCAATCGGAATTCGCCAAAATACTAACTTCGCCAATTCAAGCCTAATTCTACACCGGACCTCCAAAACCACTTCCGATCACACTCCTAAGTCCCAAATCATCCCCCGAAGCTAACCGAACCATCGGAAATCATATCCGAGCCCTCTAACACATAAGTCAACATCCGGTTGACTTTTCCAAACTAAGCCTTCCTTAAAGAGACTAGATGTCTCATTTCTTACCAAAAACTTCTCCAGACCAACTCGATCACACGAGACACAGATAATGAAGCATAAAGAAGCAGAAAATGGGGGAAACGTGGCGGTAACTCATGAGACGACAGGTCGGGTCGTCACATCCTCCTCAACTTAAACAAACGCTCGTGCTCGAGCGAGTCAAGAAACATACCTGAAGCCTCAAACAGGTGGGGATATCTGCTCCGCATCTCCCGCTCGGTCTCCAAGGTAGCCTCCTCCACGGGCCGACCTCTCCACTGCATCTTCACTGAAGCTATATCCTTTGATCTCAACTTTCTAACTTGTCGCTCCAAAATAGCTGCTGGCTCTACACCACAGGTCAAATCACCCTCCAACTGAACCGTATTGAAATCCAGAACATGGGACAGGTCCCCAATATACTTCCGGGGCATAGAAACATGGAAAACTGGATGCACACTCAACAATCTAGGTGGCAAGGCAAGCTCATAAGCCACTTCCCCAATCCTCCGAAGTACCTCAAAAGGCTCAATGAATCGCGAACTCAACTTTTCTTTCTTTCCGAATCTCATAACACCCTTCGTGGGCGAAACCTTCAACAGGACCTTCTCACCAACCATGTAAGATACATCTCGAACCTTCCGGTCCCCATAGCTCTTCTACCTCGACTGCGCCATACGAAGTCTCTCCTGAATTACCTTCACTTTATCCAAAGCATCCTGAACTAAATCTGTCCCAATAGCCTAGCCTCGCAGGGTTCGAACCAACCAATTGGGGATCTACACCGTCTCCCATACAAAGCCTCATACGGTGCCATCTGAATGCTGGACTAATAGTTGTTGTTGTAGGCAAACTCTACAAGCGGTAGAAACTAATCCTATGACCCTCCGAAATCAATAACACAGGCGCGTAGCATATTCTCCAATATCTGAATGGTGCGCTCGGACTGCCCGTCCGTCTGAGGGTGAAAAGTTGTGCTCAACTGCACCTGAGTGCCCAACTCTCGCTGAACCGACTTCCAAAACTGGGAAGTAAATTGAGTGCCCCGATCTGATATGATGGAAACCGGGACACCATGCAACCAAACAATCTCCCGAATATATAACTCTGCCAGCCGCTCTGAAGAATAAGTAGTACAGATAAGAATGAAGTGTGCAGACTTGGTCAGCCTGTCTACAATCACCCAAATAGCATCGAACTTCTTCAAAGTCCGTGGGAGTCCGGTAACAAAATCCATAGTGATCCTCTCCCACTTCCACTCGGGAATAACCATCTGCTGATGCAAGCCACCCGGTCTTTGATGCTCATATTTCACCTGCTGGCAATTGAGGCACCGAGCTACAAACTCCAGAATATCTTTCTTCATCCTCCGCCACTAATAGTGCTGTCTAAGATCCTGATCCATCTTTGCGACACCCGGATGAATGGAATACCGCGAGCTGTGGGCCTCCTCCAATATCAACTCCCGAAGCCGATCCACATCGGGCACGCAAAGCTGGCCCTGCATACTCAACACACCATCATCACCATTGGTCACGTCTCTGGTATCATCATGCTGAACCCTATCCTTAAGGACAAGCAAATGCGGATCATCATAATGGTGCTCTCTGATGTGGTCATATAAAGAAGACCGAGAAACCACACAAGCCAACACCCGACTGGGCTCCAAAATATCTAATCTCTCAAACCGATTGGCCAAGGCCTGAACATCAACTGCAAATGGCCTCTCCTCAACTGGAATATACGCCAAGCTCCCCATACTCACTGCCTTTCGGCTCAAAGCATCGGCCACTACATTGGCCTTTCCCGGATGATACAAAATAGTAATATCATAATCCTTATGCAACTCTAGCCACCTCCGCCGCCTCAAATTAAGGTCCCTTTGCTTGAACAAATGCTGAAGACTGCGATGATCAGTGAATACCTCACAAGATACGCCATACAAGTAATGCCTCCAAATCTTCAATGCATGAACTATAGCAGCCAACTCCAAATCATGAACAAGGTAGTTCTTCTTATGAGGCTTCAACTGACGAGAAGCATAAACAATAACCCTACCCTCCTGTATCAATACACAACCAATCCCAACTCTCGAAGCATCACAATACACGGTATATGAACCCGAAGCTGATGGCAACAGCAACACTGGAGCTGTGGTCAAAGCTGTCTTGAGCTTCTGAAAGCTCTCCTCACATTCGTCCGATCATACAAATAGAGCACCCTTTTGAGTCAACTTGGTCAAGGGCGATGCAATGGATGAGAATCCCTGAACAAACCGGCGGTAATAGCCTGCCAACCTAAGAAAGCTACGAATCTCTGTGGCTGAGGACGATCTAGGCCAACTCTGAACCGCCTCTATCTTCTTCGGATCAACCTGAATACCCTCGCTGGACACCACGTGTCCCAAGAAAGCCACTGAACCGAGCCAAAGCTCACACTTGGAGAACTTTGCATAAAGTTTCTCCTCCCTCAACCTCTGCAATACAACTCGCAAATGCTCCGTGTGCTCCTCCTGACTACGCGAATACACCAGAATATCATCAATGAAAACAATAACGAACGAATCCAGGTAAGGCCGAAATACACTGTTCATTAAATGCATGAACGCAGCTGGGACATTGGTCAGCCCAAAAGACATAACAAGAAACTCATATTGACCATATCTAGTCCTGAAAGTAGTCTTAAGAATATCTGAATCCCTGATCAGCAACTAGTGATAGCCCGAACGGAGATCAATTTTGGAGAACACCCTCGCTCCCTGAAGCTGGTCAAATAAATCATCAATGCGAGGTAGGAGGTACTTGTTCTTAACCGTTACCTTGTTCAATTGCCTATAATCGATGCACATTCTCATCGTGCCATTCTTCTTCTTTACAAACAGAACTAGTGCACCCCAAGGTGACACATTAGGCCGAATGAACCCCTTATCTAGGAGCTCCTAAAGTTGCTCCTTTAATTCTTTCAACTCTGCTGGTGCCATACAATATGGCGGAATAGAGATAAGCTGAGTGCTCGGCACCAGGTCAATACCAAAATCAATATCCCTTTCCGGTGACATGCCCAGCAGGTCTGCAAGTCGCCAGAGATGTCACACCTCTTTTTTTAAAACAAACCCACTAAACCCTCTTAAATTAATAAAAAGATTTAGTAAAGCTCGAAAAGGTTTTTTTAATGTTGAAAGTGACAAAAGATAGTGTTCAAAAGGAAATAACTCAGAGTCGCCACCTGACATTTGATTTCGGTGTGTCAGGTCTCCGCTTTTCCAAAAATAATTCTTTTCCTTTCAAACACTTGAGACTCCAAAGCTAAGTCTGCACCGGAGGTTTGGGTAAGGGAGTTCATTTGACTCGGGGAGAAGGTGTTAGGCATTCCCCGAGTCCCGTGAAAGTCACGATTGCGTACTCGATTTAGTTGGCTTTTAGAATATTCGAATTGAGACAAAAACAAACACAAAAAAGAAAAACAAACACAGAAGAGGTTCAAAGTCGTTCCCACCTAAAAAAATAAAATAAAACTAAAACTAAAAAAATATTACAAGTTTCACTTTAGGCCTCCAAATACAAGTACTGCGGGGCATTCCCCGAATAAAATATATACAAATCCCTCGGGGCATCCCCCGGATAAATTTAACTAAGGGAACGACCTTTCGCCTCGATACTAATAAAATCCTTAAGTTTGCCTACCCAAGTGTGGTCGGCCTAAACATGCCGCTAGCGATCAAAGAAATAAAATAAATAAAAGAAAACTAAATAAAATAACTCATAGCATGATCTTTAGTCTTTTTAGTTCAACCCCCCTGGCCCAATACAGGCAACTCCTGCGAGTTAAATAAAATAGGGCATCCAAAGCACACAGACAAGAAAAAATGGATAAACATCTAAGCACACGAAACTAACAAGCAAACTAGTAAGGGAAAAAAAAAGACAAATAACAACAGGCAACAACATAAGGTGAGGTGGATTTCAAATATGATATGACCTGCTGTTACTCCTAATGACCTCGCCCTTCTTTTGATCACTTAATCTCTTGATCCAATATCCTACTTTGGATTAAATTTCCATAACTGCTTGAATACACTAAATGGTAGTAATAACACATGCTCCAATTGAAAGCTCACGTCACTTTCTACTAATCCAATGCACACTAGAGAAGTACAAACCCAACACTTGAATTAGATCAAACTATATGATAAACTCATGTATCACTGGAGCCACAATTTTGTTAGGGAATAAAAGGAATCGGACTAAAACACACACGACCCATCGTTTAACTATCTCGATAGAACGTTGCACCAACTCTAAAAGGAAATAACTATTAATCTCATTCTTTACGAGAGTGGAATAGGGAATATTCAACATAAGACTCAAATTCACAGATGCCTAGACACGCTTAAGCTATGAGTTTCAATTCTATTAGTTATGACTAATAACAAGTTCAGCAACAAGACTACTGAGAATGGGATCAAACTTGACTGACATAGGAACTTGAACAACAAACTGACTTTTTAAAGCAACTACCAAACTAGCAGATTACCATGTTGGAGGCAACATCAATTCGAGTTAGGTCGCGAACCAATGGTTACACTTCATCAAACTTTCATTTTATCCTCGAACTCAAACGAGACTCCCTAACTGATTCTTGGATTTGAAAGTTAGTCATTTAAACACATAGAATTCTTATCTAAGCGACTAACAGCCTACATGAAACTGAAATGCCGATACCAATCTCCTACGGGCCTTTTGACACAAGAATCCAAACGCTAGGTGTTCTGTACATTCACAAATCGGATGCCAACTCGAGAAAACAGAGGACAGAACCAAACGAGCCAAAACGACTAAGGACGCCAACAGATTTAAGTCAAGAAAAGAAGGCTATCATATGCAATTATCAGTTAATTATGGAGGAAGAGTAGGGCGGGAGGGTATACAGATTCAAACCAAATTGCGACATAAGAGAAAACATTATAGAATGATGAACTAAGCTAGCACAAACTACTGGGATTGACTCGATTAAGATTCAAGGATTTGTATAATTTTTAGAAAACAAGGGAAACTAACCAAGCCAATAACAGACAGAGAATCATCAAAAAATAGTTTCAGAAACTCATTTCAACATGTAAACACAGCCAAACCAAGCAGAAATATTCTAGAAAATGGCAAGCAACGATATAACGATCGCGCACTCTCATTAATAGTCGCAAAACAATCTGAGCTTCGTTTGTTATTCTCAGAGTAACAGTAGATCAAGCAACCAATCATATCCGGCTCCCATCTTATTTTTAATCAAGCAACAAAGACAGAGTGAGAAAAGAGGAGATTGAACCTGTTTGATCGAGGCTTTGATTAATTTCGTTTGTAAGCAATTACAAGCTAAACTTTCCGATGAAGTTTTGAAATGAAGAAGCAACGCAGCCGCAGGTGGATAGGAACCGAACCAGCAACTAAGAACTCGAACGGCAACCTTGACTTCGCCTCAATCAATCTCCATCTCAAAACAGCAAAAACCAGAAGAAGAAACTAAAAATATTTTTTGGAAATTTTCTGATTTTTTCGAAATGAAACAAGGACTCGAACAAAAATGAAACTCGAACTATTTTTGTATTTTTGTTTTTTCTGGAATGCTAATTACACGTGAAAACAGAAGAATCTGAGAAGAAAGCCAAAAACCCTAGTTTTTTCGAAATTTTCCTCCAGATTTCTCTCAAATTTTCTGTCTCCCCCCCCCCCCCCCCATCGCCACTCTGAAAAATCGACCCTCCATATATAGCAGACCTAGAAGCTTCCTCTTGTTCTCCAAGAAATCTCGTATGGGGACCTCAAAAAAAATCGAAAAATCTTCAACTAAAAATCCGAAAAAGAAGAAACAACCAAGAAAAATCAGATTTTATGTCTTTTAATGGCAATAAAAGACAGATGGAGGGGGTAGATCGATATTAAAAGCGGTTTTGTTAGATAGGTTTAGGGTTTGGTTCATTAGGGTTATATTTGGGGTGTGGGGGAAATAATCTCTTAAACTGTGTTTTAAAAGGCAGAATTGGGACTCGCCCGGAACTCACCCCGGGGCGGAGCACTCGTAAAACGCCCCTGGGCTTATGTGTGGAGCTTAGTTCCGTGAGACTTACGCCTCGGCCATCGGGGCTTACGCCCCGAACACGCCCAACGCCTAGTGTACTGGGCTCGCCTAATAGAACTGCATGTAACTAACCTTGTAAATCCTCAAATTTTATTAATAAATCGTTTACTATTCAAAATTACTTTTTTCTTAATCATAAATTATTAAATTTATATCATAATTAAAATAAAATTATTGCACGTTATCCACTAAGACTGCTATGATAGTTAATTTTAAATAAATCTTTCATTTAAAAATTATTTATTTATTAACTTTTGTCATGTTTTTACTATATAATAGTCCATAAATTTTTTATAATTATTTTTCTAAATATATTTTTTTCATGTTTACGAGATACAATACTTATTAATTTAATAGCTCAATATTAGCTAGTAACTATTTACAAATAATTAGTTATCATGAAATTGTATGGTGAATTATGTGTCACTTTATTAACTTGTTGAAACTTAAAAATAAATGATGCTGGAGAATCATATTTAAATTGTGAATTATCTTTTTATATAAATTCTCTTTCAAATAGAAAGCATATTAAATAAAAGGAGTATTTTAAGAAAAATATTAAATTATAATATCGAAATTCTTTCAAGATTCATTACTCCTTAAGAGATACATATAAGATTTCGTATCGAATACATTACTTTTGATGTTTGAGTTGTAACGGCGTTGCAGCTAATTTGCATATTATGATATTTGTCATACTTTTCTTATTATTCATAGTTGAATTATAATTTATAAATATTTTAAATAGATTATTTGTTATAATTTTGTGATTTAATGTAATTTTTATAATTATTTTATATTTTATACTATCTTAAAATTCTTGAAATTACCAAAATTTAAAGATCCGTGGGACTTACGCCCCATGTCTCAGGGCTTACGCCTCGCCTCGTCAGAGGTAAAACGTCTCGCCTCACGCCCGCGCCTTTTAAAACATTGCTCGTAAATAGGATTAAAAGGAATGAATGGCTGAGATTAAACATTAAAACGGGGCGGGTTCTGGGTCGATCCGGACTGAGTAAGGGGTCAGCTGGGTCTTGGCACTGTTGGCCTCAGGTTTTGCCCAATTTGGTCTTTTTTAAGACAAGACTAGCCCTAAAATTCATTCTTCTTTTTTCTTTCCTTTCATTTTTCATTTTTTCATTTTTTTTTAAAACAAAAGAATAACAAAATACTAATTAATTTTAACTTAAACTAAACCTATATTAAAAGTGAAGTTTATATATATATATATATATATATATATATATAATATATATATATATATATATATATATATATATAATATATATATATATATTATTATTATTATTATTATTATTATTTTTCCAAAGATTATGTTAAACTAAAAATAGCAAAGATAGCAAAATTAGAATAACGTCACTATAAGAAAGACTAGTGATATTCAATTGTATTACAATATAAAAATATTTGTATAACATGAGAAATATTATAAAAGTGAAACTATTTTTGTGTTTTTTAATTTTATAATAAAAATAATGTAAAAGAGTCAAAATTAGTTAAAAAGATTATATTAGACCTAAACTAAGTATTTATGTGCTAAAATATGTAAAATCTTGGGGAGGGTCAAAAATCACATGTCTACAGGAGCATTGGCTCAAGTTATATTAAAATTGTGAAAGCATATGAGATGACTGAACTCTTTGGAGCATTGACTTAAGTGGTAAAGTGAGTTATGAAACAAAAGTGAAAGAAAGAGAAAGATGATTAAATTGTTCCCTTGACGGGATATTGATGCTTGTTGATTATTTCCCTTGCCGGGATGCTGAGATTATTGATGTTGTACCCTTGCCGGGTTTTAATTATTTAAATTGTGTTCCCTTGCCGGGATTTCTATTATTATTCTGTTTATTCCCTTGCCCCTTGTTTCTGATTGTTGTTTGGGTGAGGAAGAGTGTTAAAGCACGAAGGGTGATGCCGTGCATTATTTGTTTATTGTGAGCAAAGAGAGTAAAAGCACGAAGGGTGATGCCGTGCCGCACGATGTACCATTCTGTACCGATTCTATTGACTATATGTGAGGAAAGAGAGTAAAAGCACGATGGGTGATGCCGTGCACGTTTCATTATATCATTGCTTGGTGAGGACGAGAGTAAAAGCACGAAGGGTGATGCCGTGAACTTGTTGATTTCTGATTCTTTATTGCCGTGTGAGTTATATTGCTTCTTCCGTTACATGATGACTTTTAATCATAGTTGCTATTTTTCCCCACAGCATGCTCCCCCTCCCACGTTGTTTGGTTATCTTTGTATCTCTGTTCCGCCGTATATACATATGTAAATGCACAGGTTTATGTGGTAGTATGGTCTAGCCTCGTCACTACTTCGCCGGGGTTAGGCTAGGCACTTACCAGCACATGGGGTCAGTTGTGCTGATGCTACACTCTGTGCTCTTTTGCACAGATCTAGGTACCGGACAGCAGCAGTAGCTCGGGAGTCAGCCTTCAGTCCACCGAGACACCGAGGTAGCCTTGCAGGCGTCCGCAGGCCCGGCGTCTCCTCTATCTTATATTTCAGTCTGTTATCTCATGTTTTCGAGACAAACAGTGTTATTTTTCTTTCAAACGATTGTATTTAGTACTCTTAGTAGTCCGTGGATATTGTGACACCAGTTATTGGGTAGAGGCATATGATGATTTCCGCATTAGTGTTCGTTTATTTAATTTAAGTCTTCCGCTTTAATTTTATATTTCCACTGTTATTCAAATATTTAACGCTTGTTGTTATGATTGGTAAAAAGAATTTAAAATAAAAGATTTAGGAGTTTATGATTTGTGGCTTGCCTAGCTTCTACGAGTAAGCGCTATCACGACCCCCGAGGGTGGGAAATCCGGGTCGTGACACCAAAGCTCACCCGAGCTCTCGGGGCTCCAAACCAAATATGCACACTAACCTAAAAATATCATACGGACTTGCTCGCGCGATCAAATCGCCAAAATAACACCTCGAACTACAATTTTAGCATCAAAATGAAAGAAAAATCTTAAGAACTCTTAAGTTTCAAATTTCACAACCGAGGGTCCGATTCACGTCATATGAAGTCCGTTTCTTACCAAATTTTTCTAAAGGCAAAATTAGCATTTTTATCAAATTTTCACATAAAAGCGTTCCGAATATATGCCCGAAATGTGCACGCAAATCGAGGCAAGATAAAAGGAGGTTTTTAAGACCTCAGAACAGAGAATTGACTTGTAAATCAAGTTATGACCTTTTGGATCATCACATCCTCCACCTCTAAAGCAACCGTTCGTCCTTGAACGGACATAGAAAAGAAGTACCTGAGTCGGAGAAAATATGGGGATATCGACTCTGCATATCGGACTCGGACTCCCAGGTAGCTGCCTCGGCAGGCTGACCTCTCCACTAAACACGAACTGAAGGGAACTTCTTCGATCTCAACTAACGAACCTGCCGGTCTAAAATAGCTACCGGCTCCTCCTCATAGATCAAGTCCTTGTCCAACTGGACAGTGCTGAAGTCTAACATGTGGGATGGATCGCCGTGATACTTCTGAAGCATGGACACATGAAACACTGAGTGCACAGGTGATAAACTCGGCGGTAATGCAAGTCTGTGAGCCACTTCTCCCACTCGATCAAGAATCTCAAAAGGACCAATGAACCTCGGGCTTAGCTTGCCCTTCTTCCCAAATCTCATCACGTCCTTCATGGGCGACACCCGGAGCAACACTCGCGCTCCGACCATAAATGCCACATCACAAACCTTGCTGTCGGCATAACTCTTCTGCCTGGACTGAGATGTACGAAGCCTATCCTGAATGATCTTCACCTTATCCAAGGCATCCTGAACTAGATCTGTACCCAACAATCGAGCCTCTCCTGGGTTAAACCACCCAACCGGCGACCGACACCGCCTACATATAATGCCTCATAGGGGGCCATCTGAATGCGCCACTGGTAGCTGTTATTGTAGGCAAACTCTGCTAATGGCAAGAACTGATCCCAAGAACCTCCAAAGTCAATAACACATGCTCGGAGCACATCCTCCAAAATCTGAATAGTATGCTCGGACTGTCCGTCCGTCTGAGGATGAAATGTTGTGCTCAACTCGACCCGAGTACACAACTCACGCTGAACTGCCCTCCGAAAATGCGAGGTAAACTGCGTACCCCGGTCAGAAATGATAGACACAGGCACGCCATGAAGACGTACAATCTCCCGGATATAGATCTCAGCCAACTGCTTCGAGGAATAGGAAACTGTCACAGGAATGAAATGCGCTGACTTGGTCAGCCTATCAACAATAACCCATACTGCATCGAACTTCCTCTAAGTCCGTGGGAGTCTAACAACGAAGTCCATAGTGATACGCTCCCACTTCCACTCGGGAATCTCAATCTTTTGGAACAAACCACCAGGTCTCTGATGCTTGTACTTTACCTGCTGACAATTCAAACACTGAGCTACATAGGCAACAATGTCCTTCTTCATTCTCCTCCACCAATAATGCTGCCACAAGTCCTGATAAATCTTAGCGGCGCCGGGTAAATAGAATACCGGGAACTATGGGCCTCCTCTAGTATTAACTCATGAAGTCCATCCACAT